TATATATACACTTGTGTTCAAAATAATAGCAGTCAGACATCACTAACCGGATCAATCACTGTTTTTGGTGGAAATTATATTTCTACATGGCAAATAATTTCCTAGCAGGTGTAGTAGAGTAATAGAAATCCAACAGACCCAACAGTCATGACATCCATGCTGCTGATTCTGTGTCATTGAATCACTCATTGAAAGGGGCGTGTTCAAAATAATAGCAGTGTGGAGTACTGTTATTGAGGTCATTCATTCTTTGAGAAACAGGTGGCAATTATTGCCCTTATTTAAAGAAGGAAGGCAGCAAATGTTGTACATTCTGGTTACAGTGCATTTCTCTCTGAAATTCTGAGGAAAATGGGTCGTTCCAGACATTGTTCAGAAGAAAAAAAGTTAAAAAGTTGATTGGAGAGGGGAAAACATATAAAGAAGTGCAGAAAATGATCGGCTGCTCAGCTAAAATGATCGCAAATGCTTTAAAATGGCAACCAAAACCTGAAAGATGTGGAAGAAAAAGCGAAAAACTACCATTGGAATGGATAGAAGAATAGCCAAAATGGCGCGGACTCAGCCAACAATCAGCTCCAGGAAGATGAAAAGAAGGTGTGACGTTCCCTGTGAGGACTGTTACAATTAGAAGACGCCTATGTGAAGCCAAGCTATCTGCAAGAAGTCCCCGCAAAGTCCCACTGTTGGGAAAAAGACATGTGCTGAAGAGGTTACAATCTGCCAAAGAGCACATTGACTGGCCTAAAGAGAAATGGCGCAACATTTTGTGGACTGATGAAAGTAAGATTGTTCTTTTTGGGTCTAGTGGGCGGAGACAGTTTGTAAGACGACCCCCAAACACTGAATTCAAGCCACAGTACACTGTGAAGACCGTGAAGCATGGTGGTGCAAGCATCATGATAGGGGGATGTTTCTCATACTACGGTGTTGGGCCTATTTATCGCATACCAGGGATCATGGATCAGTTTGAATCCATCAGAATACTTGAAGAGGTCATGCTGCCTTATGCTGAACAGGAAATGCCCTTGAAATGGGTGTTCCAACAAGACAACGACCCCAAACACACCAGTAAACGTGCAACATCTTGGTTCCAGACCAACAAGATGGACGTTATGGAGTGGCCAGCCCAATCCCCGGATCTTCATCCAATAGAAAACTTGTGGGGTGACATCAAAAATGCCGTTTCTGAGGCAAAACCAAGAAATAGAGAAGAACTGTGGAATGTGGTCCAATCATCCTGGGCTGGAATACCTGATCACAGGGGCCAGAAGTTGGGTGACTCCATGCAACACAGATGTACAGCAGTTCTCAGAAACAGTGCGACTACAACCAAATATTCATGAAGTCATTCAAAGGAAAGCAAAATCTTCAAACATTTCTCAGTTTATATAGTGAATGTTTGAGTTTGTAAAGAAGAATACAAACACTGCTATTTTTTTGAACCGTCTAATATTCACTTTTCTTCAATTTTTTTAGAGGAACAACACAAATTTGATGTATTTTTCTTCATGTTGTGATTTGGAATAGAATGTGTCGTGTTCCCAATGCATTTGTGTGGATGGAAATAAAAGCTATTAGAAGGATTTTCAGCTTTATTCACTTTTTTTCAACAGACTGCTATTACTTTTGAACACAACTGTATATATATATATTATTTATTTAATTGTACGATCTAAGGCCCCTAACTCGCATTTACATACTAGGGCCAGTTTAGACAGGATCCAAGTAACGTACCAGTATATCTTTGGAAGTGTGAGCGGAAACTGTAGTACCTGCAGGAAACCCACACAGCCACAGGGAGAACTTGCATGGTTGGTGCCGTGGTTGGGATTCGAACCTACAATGTTTGTGCTGTCAGGCGGGAGTGCTAACCCTTACCTCCCTATCTGGTAAGGGCCCTAACCAGGGGCCAATTTAGACAGGATCCAATTAACCTACCAGTATGTCTTTGGAGTGTGGGAGGAAGGAAAACTGGGGAGTACATGCGAACTCCAGGCAGGTGGTGCAAAACACCCAGGTGGGATCAGCCACCCTGGAGGAGTGGGGGTGTTAGCACAAAGGTGCTGACAAAGGGGGGCACAGACGCAGGCCAGGAGAAGCCACATGCAAACTACAGGCAGTGGTGGGCAGTGGTTGGGATTTGAACCTACAATGTTTGTGCTGCCAGGGGCGGAGTGCTAACCACCTAGCCACTGTGATTCCCTGGAAGTTGTAGGGGTGGGTGTTAGCACAAAGGTGTGCTGACAAAGGGGGCACAGAGGAAACCACGCAGGCACAGGGAGAACTTGCGAACTCCAGGCAGGTGGTGCCGTGGTTGGGATTTGAACCTACAATGTTGTTCTGCCAGGTGGGAGTGCTAACCACTTAGCCACTGTGATTCCCTGGAAGGGTAGGGGTGGGGGGTGTTAGCACAAAGGTGTGCTGACAAAGGGGGCACAGAGGAAACCTACGCAGGCACAGGGAGAATATGCGAACTCCAGGCAGGTGGTGCCGTGGTTGGGATTTGAACCTACAATGTTGTTCTGCCAGGTGGGAGTGCTAACCACTTAGCCACTGTGATTCCCTGGAAGGTGTAGGGGTGGGGGTGTTAGCACAAAGGTGTGCTGACAAAGGGGGCACAGAGGAAACCTACGCAGGCACAGGGAGAATATGCGAACTCCATGCAGGTGGTGCCGTGGTTGGGATTTGAACCTACAATGTTGTTCTGCCAGGTGGGAGTGCTAACCACCTAGCCACTGTGATTCCCTGGAAGGTGTAGGGGTGGGGTTGTTAGCACAAAGGTGTGCTGACAAAGGGGGCACAGGTGAAGCCCACGCAGGCACAGGGAGAATATGTGAACTCCATGCAGGTGGTACCATGGTTGGGATTTGAACCAACGACCCGAGTGCTGCCAGGCGGAAGTGGTAACCACTCAGCCACTGTGTGAAAAGTAGTTTGCATAGCCTAGGTCAAGCAACCTTGTATATGGGATTGATTATGACGGTGTGGCGCTTCCGTTCTGAATTCCCCGGTTTGTGTCTTAGCCGTCATCTAAATAAACAAACCGGCCACTTTGGTCTCTCAAACCAGCCCTGTGTTTATTTGCAGATATGCTCCCAGCTGAGTGAGCGGCTAGAAAAGCAGCAGACGTCGAACAAAGCTGAAATTGAGAAAATCCGGGTAAGTTGGCCCTCTCCTTGAACCGCGGTACTTTACTGTGATCTTCAGAGGTTTACAGCAGAAATCTGAAAAATGTCCGAGGATCTTCAAGGACACACAGTGCGGCTGAACCACCTACAGGATTTGTCTTCATTTTTAAGATGGTCATTGACCGCATGCGTCCAGAAATTCATTACATCCACAATGCTTTCAGAGATCGTGTCGTGTGAATGCCAGAAGAGGTAAAGCTTCCGAAGAGTGGCACAATCACATGGTTTGCTTCTTCGGTCCTCCTTTTTTTCGTTTTGTTTCTCAGATCATTATACAAACCACCTCCCTGCGTCGCAGAGAAGACAGCAAAACATATTCAAATATTTTCTCTTCTCTCTGTGCTCAACAAACCTGAATTTGTTTAAAAACCCCACCCCCCCACCCCCCACCACACGAGGATTTACCCCCCTTCCTGACCAGGCCATATTGTTTGTTACAGCGCTGCAGTACTGACATGCGACGCTGCACCCAAATTAAATTTACGGCCTTTTTTTTTCCCCACAAATGGAGCTTTCTTTCGGTGGTATTTGAATCCCTGTGCAGTTTTTAATTTTTTGCACTATAAAAAAAAAAAAGACCGGCAATTTTGAGAAAAAAAAAACAATGTTTTTGACTTTTTGCTATTAAACACGTCCAGTAAATAAAATTTAAAAATCAAAATTTCGTCATAAATTTAGACCAAAATGTATTCTTTCTTTGCTGAAAAAAAAAATCCCAATAAGTGTAAATTAATTGGTTTACATGAAAATTATAGCATTTACAAATGGTGGTATAGCTACTGGGATTTTTTTTTTTTTTTTTTTTTACTAGTAATGGCGGCACTCAGCGACTTATAGTGGGACTGCGCCCGGGCATTCTGACACTGGGGGGAAACTCACTTGGTGTCATTGACATTCCCAGTGACACCAATACAATGATCAGTGCTAATAAAAAGCACTGGCACTGTACTAATGGCACTGGTCAGGAAGGTGTTAACATGTGGGGCGATCAAAGGGTTAAATGTGTGCTGTTTTACTTAGGGCTGTGTCTTCACTGTAAGCACACAGCTTTGCATGCAAATCAGTGTGCAGGAGCTGACAGGGCAGAGAACTGTTTTGTTTACAAACAGTTATCCCCCTCACCCCCCCATAAACACCCCACCGAAACCCCCCCCCCCCCCCCCCCAGAAATGCTCGGCAATCACTGGGTGCCGGTGAGTAATCAACTGCCGGGACCCTGTGATTGAAAGCCGAGGCCGCAAATGGAGGTGCCTCGTGCTCGCCCCCTACCCGGAAATGCAAAATCATGTGTGTACTCGGACATGACACAAGAGGGGATCAGAGACTGCAGACATGACACTCGAGATAATTAGAGACTGCTGACATGACAGAAGAGGTGACCAGAGAATGCAGACATGACACAAGAGGTGACCAGAGAATGCAGACATGACACAGGAAATGATCAGAGAGACTGCAGACATGACACGAGGTGATCAGAGACTGCAGACATGACACAAGAGGTGACCAGAGAATGCAGACATGACACAGGAAATGATCAGAGACTGCAGACATGACACGAGGTGACCAAGAAAGCAGCAGACATGACACAAGAGGTGACCAGAGAATGCAGACATGACACAGGAAAAATGATCAGAGACTGCAGACATGACACGAGGTGATCAGAGACTGCAGTCATAACACAAGAGATGATGAGAGACTACAGACATGACACAGTAGATGATCAGAGACTGCAGACATGACACAGTAGATGATCAGAGACTGCAGACATGACACAGTAGATGATCAGAGACTGCAGACATGACACGGGAGGTGATCAGAGACTGCAGACATGATACAAGAGGTGATCAGAGACTGCAGACATGATAAAAAAGGTGATCAGAGACTGCAGACATGATAAAAAAGGTGATCAGAGACTGCAGACATGAGAAAAAAGGGATAGTCACAGACTTCAGACATGACACGAGGTGATCAGAGACTGCAGACATGGTACAAGAGATGATCAGAGACTGCAGACATGATACAAGGGATGATCAGAGACTGCAGAAATGATACAAGAGATGATCAGAGACTGCGGACACGATACAAGAGATGATCAGAGACTGCAGACACGAGAAAAGGGATGGTCAGAGACTGCAGACATGACACAAGAGATGATCAGAGACTGCAGACATGACACAAGAGATGATCAGAGACTGCAGACATGACACAAGAGATGATCAGAGACTGCAGACATGACACAAGAGATGATCAGAGAGACTGCAGACATGACACAAGAGATGGTCAGAGACTGCAGACAGGATACAGGAGATGGTCAGAGACTGCAGACAGGATACAGGAGATGATCAGAGACTGCAGACATGACACAAGAGATGGTCAGAGACTGCAGACAGGATACAGGAGATGGTCAGAGACTGCAGACATGATAAAGGAGATGGTCAGAGACTGCAGACAGGATACAGGAGATGATCAGCGACTGCAGACATGATACAAGAGATGGTCAGAGACTGCAGACATGATACAAGAGTTGGTCAGAGACTGCAGACACCACCTTACTGCTCTAACAGTAAAGAACCCCTTATGCAGCTTAAGATTGATCCGCCTCTTGTCTAGTTTAATTGATTGTTTCTCAGCTCACATATATGGATCCAACAGTAAAATGTAAAATTGACACCTCCGCTAACCATCTTTTCTCGGCTTCTCTTCCAACACAGCAAAAGGTTGAAGGTTGCGAACGCTGCAGAGAATTCTTCAACACAGAGGGGAGGGTAAAGTTGGTCAGTGCTACCAAGGACAACTCCACCGAGGAGGACACAGATGAAGAGAAGGAGACCCTGAACAACCAACTACGGGAAATGGAGCTTGAACTGGCTCAAACCAAACTTCAGCTGGTGGAGGCCGAGTGTAAAATACAGGTACGTTCTCAGTGAGAGAGGACATAGATGGGCCTCCTGCACCAATCGGAAATCCCCCTTCAAGCATCGAGCGCACCCTGTTGCTGCTTGTTTGCATTGGAATAACATTCAGTCCTTCAGACTTGTCTGTTTATGATGAGTCCGGGGGTCGTTACCTATGGTCCTGGCCACTTGTGGACACCTATCAGATGTTTTGGGTGGCTTTTTTCGTGATGACTGTTCTCCTAATGGCAACGAGGTATGGAGAACACTCGTCCGCCCAGTGCTACGTCATCAGGACTGCCTAACAGCTCTTGCATGGTGGTGCATTGGTTGGTGCACCCTCCATTCCACCAACCTCCAAGAGCTGTTAGGCAGTCTTGATGAACCAGCACAGGGCGGAGGAGTGTTCTCCATATCTCATTGCGTACCAGTATGCTGAAATATCAGTAGAACTATTTTTATAAATATTTGCAAAGGAAATACGAGAGGAGGATCTAAGTTGTGGAAAGCCAAGAAAACACACGGAGGGCGAAGGGAATATTCTCCAGTATTGCCTATGTCCTCCATGCTGCAAAACCGTTTCTCCACAAAAGACTTGCCATGCCTTGTTGTACAGTCACCTGCCACTTTTATTAGGTACGCCGGATCAATTGCTCGGTTACACAAATCAGCCAATCACATGGCAGCAACTCAGTGCATTTAGGCATCTAGACGTGGTGAAGACCACTTGCTGAAGTTCGAGCATCAGAATGGGGAAGAAAAGAGGATTGAAGTGACTTTGAACGTGGCATGGTTGTTGGTGCCAGACGGGTTGGTCTGAGTATTTCAAAAACTGCTGTTCTACTGAGATTTTCACGCACAACCATCTGTAGGATTTACAGAGAATGGTCCGAAAAAGAGAAAATATCCAGTGAGCAGCAGTTGTGTGGACCAGAATGCCTTGTTGACGTCAGAAGAGAATGAGCAAACTGGTTTGAGATGATAGGCAACAGTAACTCAAATAACCAGTCGTTACAACCAAGGTATGCAGAATACCATCTGTGAAGGCACAACACATCCAGCCTTGAAGCAGATGGGCTACAGCAGCAGATGATCACACCCTGTGCCACTACTGTCAGCTAAGAACAGGAAACAGAGGCTACAGTTTACACAGACTCACCAAAATTGAACAATAGAAGATTGGAAAAACGTTGCCTGGTCTGATGAGTCTCTATTTCCTAAGAGATGGACACAACTGCCACTCACTGGGCATTTTCGATCTTTCTGACCATTCTCTGTAAACCCTAGAGATAGTTGTACATGAAAATCCCAGTAGATCAGCAGTTTTTTAAATACTCAGACCAGCCCTTCTGGCAACAAAAACTATGCCACATTCAAAGTCACTTAAATCCCCTTTCTTCCCCATTCTGATGCTCAGTTTGAAATTTCGGTAAGTCATCTTCTCCACGTCTAGATGCCTAAATGCATTGAGTTGCTGCCATGTGATTGGCTGATTAGCAATTTGTGTTACCAAGCAATTGAACAGGTGTACCCAATAAAGTGGCCGGTGAGTGTATTTGTCTCTGTGTGGAGGCTGCCATCTTGGTAGATGTAGGGTTTGCTTCCTCGTGCTTCCTCGTGTCACAGCTGCTCCCTTCAGGACTGGTGACCTGATTGGAGAATATTCAAGAAGCAGAGGTTGAGGAGTCCACAGAATGAATTCCTTTGCAAAGGGCGGAAGGAATACTCACCAGTACTGTCTATAGTCTCCCTGCAGCTAAACATTTTCCACACAATAGACTTCCTAAGCCATGTTGTGCATTTTCTCTCTGTGTGGAGGCAGCCATCTTGGTAGATGTAGGGTTTGCTTCCTCGTGTCACAGCAGCTCCCTTCAGGACGGGTGACCTGATGGGGGAATATCAAGAAGCAGAGGTTGAGGAGTCCACAGAATTAATTCCTTTGCAAATGGAAAAAGGAATACTCGCCAGCGTTTTCTATGGTCTCCCTGCAGCCAAACGTTTTCCCATTAGACCTTACACAACTAGGGCATATTTACCACAAAGCACTTAGCCTAGGGCAGCATTGAAAGAAGGGATTACACACCACCATGGGAGAAATACAGTTGTGACCAAAATTATTCAAACCCCCAATGCTGTAAAGGGGTTAGGGACTCCACACAGTAGTAAATGGTTCTTATGTGGTTTTCTCATTGCCACAATTTATTCAACCCCGCCCTAAAGACTACCACTCTGAAGAACAGAGGTTTCATACAGGTGCTTTCCATCAGGTATTGAAAACACCTGTGGAATGTCCAATAGACTTACAAACAAGGGCATATTTACCACAAAGCACTTGCCTAGGGCAGCATTTTTCAGGGGGGCAGCACCTCCCCCCAGAAGAAGGGATGAAAGAAGGGATACACACACCATGGGAAATAGGTGGGATCTGAGAGAGGCTGCGGGCTGCTTAATTGTGTATGTAGAGCCTGATTCTCATTCACGGGGATGTCTGGAGCTGTGAAGATGAGTATCTTCCTCTCTATAGCCGGAGGTGGTGTTGTTGGTCAATGTCGGGCTCTCTCTGCGGGAAGGGGAAGGGGGAGGGAGGTGGTGGGTCGGTGTCTGTAGGGGCAGACAATTTTTGTGTTGCCTAGGGCAGCACAAAACCTAAATACACCACTGTTTACCAAGCCTTGTTGTGCATTTTCTCTCCGTGTGGAGGCAGCTATCTAGGTAGATGAAGGGTTTGCTACCTCGTGTCACAGCTGCTCCCTGATGAACAGTGACCTGATAAGGGAATATTAAAGAAGAAGGTTGAGGTAGATCCACAGGATGAATGTGAAGCAGAAGCTGGGAGATCAAAGAAGCAGAGGTTGAGGAGTCCACAGGATGAATGAAGCAGAAGCAGGGAGATCCTTTCACTGCAGGTCCACAGTTACAGCTTTCTCTCCAGCAAGGAGAACAGCAGCACAGGAGTGACAACTCAAAATTTCACTTCAACTCTTGAGACTAGAAGTCAGAGGCTACATCCGTATTCAGCCCATTCAACAAACTGACCTCTCTTCTTTTAAGGATACCCTTTATGCATTTCTTTTTCAGGATCTGGAGCATCATCTTGGCCTCGCCCTAAATGAAGTTCAAGCAGCAAAGAAGACCTGGTTCAACAGGACCATCAGCTCCATAAAAACAGCAACTGGAGTACAAGGGAAAGAGACCTCTTAACAGCCTGACTCTTGTGTAAAAAAAAAAATAATTGTCTTTATGAAAACATGATACCTTCTGTTGCCTTCCTTGGCCAGATATTTTGGTTTGCTCTACATGTAAGAGGACCAGGAGTGCAGCATGACAGGATGGTAGTTGGTCAATGCTTGCCAGTCACTTGTACGATTAAGCACCTCTGGCCCTTGCCAACATACTTCCACAGTCCTCGTAAAACTGACACTAAGTGAAATTAGGCAGGTGGAGACCGTACCCTTGGCCGCGTGATCGTTTCCTTCAGCCCGCCACGATGTGCTTGATACCATAGAGTTTCCATTTTACCCTTTTATTAATGATCGTTGTCAGGAAACATTTTTTTCAAAGCAAGGGTATGTATTGAGGTTCTGCTTGTACGCGAGTACCTAAATGGGAAATCAAGGGACACAGCTCTGCGTATCTAGCAGAATCCTAGTTGGCAGTTGCTTGGTTACATTATTGTACTTTCACTTCAATGGCTAGCTCCTTAAGTACGTATCCCACTTAGGATTACGGTTGATTCGTTTCAGAACGCTGCCATACATGTTTTTTGTTTTTTTTTTACATCATGAGGTCATAACCTGAGGATCCCTAAACTTATCCATGAACTTTGTGCTATTAACTCCTTTAGCATGGAGGATGGTTCAATGCAAGGTCTTCTTAAGGGAAGGCTGGATCCTAATACTACTGAGATAAACAGATTGCCTCCTTATAATACGAGGCCCATGGGCCAGGCCAGTTATTTCTACGGTAGAACGTTTGTAAGACAACAAAAAAAAAAAAAAAAAAAAGCGAAGGGGTACGTACTGGTTTCAATGCAGCGCAGAGGTCTCTGACCTATGTGCACTTGGGAAGAGTAATCATCACGCAACAAAGGGGCCTTTCTTTGCAGCCTCGTGTTTTGGAGCGGTTGACTGTTACCTTTATACTCTGTCATATCGAGAGATCCAATAATACAGTCTTTTGTTGTCTTTTTTCAGTTCTATATTAGCAGATGGGGATTTGCAGCCACCAAGTACTTTTACTAATCTGTGTGGAGTCTATCACAGCAACCCTTTGTGGAGATAATCCACAGATACTGTAACAGTCATCGAGAATCGTGCAAATGTTCAGATATCGCCTGCGTTCCTGTTATCTGCGGGCTCATCGCAGCACTGAAAGGAGCTTTGTGCACTTCTCTCTGATTACCGTTGGTTTCGAGCACTCGTCGCTTGTCTTTCTGACATTTGATGTCCATTTATGTCTCACGTGTCACACCTACTGTTGTAGCTTTTTTTTTTTTTTATATAAAAACTAAGTTAACCTGTTAACTTCTTGGGGCTCTTTTTTGGTAATCTATAGTGCCAAGAGCAATGGAGCATAGTAACTCAAAGAATCAAGAGATCATATGCCTGTGGAGGTTCTCATTTATCCAGGTCATGATGTAGCTTGTAGTAGTTGGTCACATTCTGCTGGACTTGCCTGTGGAGGTTCTCGTTTATCCAGTTCATGGTATAGCTCTCAGACTTAATCTGTAATGCTGAAGGCATCTCATTGCTCAACCAAGTAGCTTGCTAAGTTCTACCCCAGCATTTAGGTCCACATGGTTAATTTGGTCACCTTAAGCCAGCCATTCTCACCCGGGGTTCCATGGAACCCTAGCGTTCCTCTTGGGGGACTAGGGGCTCCTTGAGCTGTAGCTAAATTAACTCCCATCTGATGGTGCATGCATAGTTGCAGGTTAAACACCATTTGGCAGAGTCAGTGGCAGGACTGCAAGGGTTTCATTCTGGCCATTCTCAACCAGGGGTCCAAGGAACTGTAGGGTTTCTCCAGGGGTGGCTAAGGGTTCTTTGAGCCATGGCTAACTGACCTCCCATCTGATGGTGCCTGCATAGTTCCAGGTCCAACACCATTTGGCAGAGCCATTGGTATGACTACAAGGGTTTCATTCTGACCATTACCAACCAGGGGTGCAAGGAATCATAGGGTTTCTCTAGAGGCAGCTAGTGGTTCCTTGAACTGTGGCTAACTGACCTCCCCTCTGATATTGCTTGCATAGTTCTAGATCCAACACCACTTGGCAGAACCAGTGGTATGACTGCAAGGGTTTCATTCCTGCCACCACTGTAAGGGGAGCATTCTTCCCATATACCACCAACAATGTAAGGGGCAGTTTCGCAGTGGCCCCCGATGGACTAATTTTAAGAGAAAAGCTGCCTTAAGCCATTCAGCATGGAATGTGTCAAGGCAGATGTTGATTGTTCAAGAAGATGGTGGAAGGCTGTGCAAGTTTCTGAAATCTGCCTTTTCTAGTTACATAACCCAACCACCATGCTGCCACGAAGACTGAGACATATGTTATTTGTCGGATTACATTGCTGAAGGGGCTAAACCAAATTGCTAGAGTAGAGAAGGGGTATAAGAGACACCACACTCCATTAGCTCAGCAGGTTGAGAGGAACGGCCTCAGCCTTGAACTCAGTCATGTCCCTCTGATGCATTTCGCCCCGCCCAATGGGGCTTAGTCATAGAGGTTCTAGAGTAAAGATCTTAAATCAGCATTGTGACAGATGACTTTGAAGGCCTCCATCCCTTTTTAGGGATAATTGTTCTAATTTGGTTTACATGGCCCCTTTATTTCCATCTCTCTAAGGATGATTGCTCTGATTTGGCTTAGATAGCCCCTTTACGCCTCTCACAAATGACTTGTCCTCTAGGTCCAAAAAGTGCATTGTCCTCAAAAGAATGTCCCTTTTTCTTAAGGAGACCTAGTCACCAGGCATTTCCGCAACAATCTTCCAAGATTTTATTTACTCGTAGAAGCTCCCCTTGTGTCTACATTCAAAAGCCACTGGGTGCCGCCATCTTGGATGTGATGTCATCAGACTCTTTAGAATTCTCCTGCACACCTTCCCCAGCTGCTACAAAAAAAGGGTTATGAGTGGTGGAGGGACTAGGCCAACATAGACTGTAATACATCTCCCAGTTCTTCACGGAAGGAGGAGGTGCTAGGAAATGGACTCTTTGGTTAGTGACAGGGTCTCTTTAAAGTGTAGGATGACTGCTGAGTTCTGACCCACAGAGTCACCCTTCCATGTTGGATCTCGCGTTTGTTGTGTTGCTAATCTGTAGCTGGCACTCATTAGAACTGAGGAAGCTACTTGAATGAGCAGCAAAACATCGTCAACCTTACCCAACAAGTCCAGTTGGCTGTAACCAACTTTTCCAAGCTAAAGCGAGAGATCCGTTTTAATTCATCCTCTCTAAGCTGAAAGGAAATGTTTTTGTTAGTCAGAATTCGGCTTTGGAAAGCTGAAAAGAAAGGATAGTCTGGTGAAAGCCAACCCTCGGGCACTATGGATTTGCTGTGTATTATTGTCCTTTACACTGCTGTTGGGTAAAGCCCATTCTTTTGGCCTTCAAAGGGCCAGCCGTTCATTGAATAGCAGTTCACTGGATTCCGCAAATGGAGCAGTGGATGGCTGAGTACAAGGCGATCAGCTGCAGTGAAATGCCGGAATCCAGAAGACGAAGGCTCATTGTCCATTTTTTTTTTTAGCAGTTTTGGGAATAATGGTTTAAAGCTGAACTCCGAGCAGATATCAAAAAACAAATGAACGCAGCTTTGTAATTATTAATACATTAAATTATGTTTTGTAAAGCACAACTCAGGAAACGTGAAATTCTCCTTTGCAGTGAGGCTCCCCCTGGACTGCATTAGGTCTAGGGGCCGTGAAAAGCACTCCCATAATCCTCTGCTCCCCCAGCAGACTGTGTTGGAACCATCTCTTGATGGCCTCACCTTCTTGTATTGGTGTTGATGACATCAGGATCTTAGACTGCTGGAGCATGGGGGGAGAAGAAGCTGCAAGGACCGGTCTATCACCGTGAAGAAAGTCTACCTATCACACAGTGGGACAGTGCCGGGACAAGGTCACCAAGAGCCCAGGGTGAACATGTGTGTTTGCCCCCCCCCCCCCCCAAGATGTATGAGCATTATGTGTCATCAAAATTCCCCTCCCCCCCCTCTCAAAAAAAAATTGAGCACTAATCTGCATGTTTATCCCCTAAGCAAAATTCCCCCCTTCCTATTGAAATCCCCCCATCCCAGAATAATCTTTGACACCCCCCCCCCCGCTCAAATTCTCTCTGTCCCCATATGCCCCTAAAAAAATTTCCCCCCTCCTAGCACAAATCCTCTACCTCTCAATTTTCATCTCCGAGCACAAATTCCCCTCCAATTCTCCATCCTAG